TATTGTTACAAGTTTTTACATCCTTTCAGAAATGTTCTCTGTAGGGGTGCCTGGGTGGCTCAGTTGATTAAGCGGTTAGGTCTTGACTCTTTTGATTTTGGCTCAGCTCATAATCTCACAGGTTTGTGAAATTGAGCCCTGCTGTGCCCTGCTGACAGCACAGATCCTGCTTGAGTCCCTTTCTCTCCCTTTCTCTGTGCCCCAACCCCACTGGTACACATGTGCTCTCTCTCTCTCTCTCTCTCTCTCTCTCTGCCCTGCTGACAGCACAGATCCTGCTTGAGTCCCTTTCTCTCCCTTTCTCTGTGCCCCAACCCCACTGGTACACATGTGCTCTCTCTCTCTCTCTCTCTCTCTCTAAGTAAACTTCATTTTAAAAAAAAATTTTTTTTTAATGTTTTTTATTTATTTCTAGGAGAGAGAGAGAGAGACAGCGTGAGCAAGGGAGGGTCAGAGACAGAGGGAGTCACAGATTGAAACAAGCTCCAGGCTCTGAGCTGGCAGTCAGCACAGAACCCGACGCAGGGCTCGAACCACGAACCGCGAGATCATGACCTAAGCGAAAGTCGGACGCTTAACTGACTAAGCCACCCAGGCACCCCTCTCCAAGTAAACTTTAAAGAAAATTAAAAAAAAAAAAAGAAATGTTCTATTCTCTGCATATACAAATAGGAATAAGAATATGCTATATAAACTGTTCTACACATAAGTTCTTTTTTAATTTCATCTCTCTTGGAGAAATTTCCATATAACATACAAGCCACCTCAATTCTTTTAAGTTTTCATTTATTTTGAGAGACAGTGAGAGTGTGAGTACAAGCTGGGGAGGGGCAGAGAGAGGGGAAGAGACAGAATCCCAAGCAAGCTCTGTGCTGTCACTGCAGAGTCCGATGTGGAGCTCAAACTCACAAACCCTGAGATCATGAGCTGCGCTGAAATCAAGAGTCAGACGCTCAACCAACTGAGCCACCCAGGTGCCCCAAGCCACCTCAATTCTTTTAAACAGCTGCATAATGTACTAACATGTGGGTGTGCCATAATTTAGTTAATGAGCCACTGGGATATTTGTCAAAAATACAGATTGTCAAAGTACACACCAGACTGAGTCAGAATCTGCAAATATGAGGCCCAGGAATGTGTGCTCTAATTACAAGCTCCCCAGGTGGTGCCAACAAGGCTGGCCTGTACACACTCAAGAGCTCATCGTGAGCACCCTCCTGTTTCTGGGTCAGTCTCCTATGGCACACTGTGCTGTAGCAACTATCATATCTTCCCAGAGGATGAAACTAGAGGCCTGCTGACTGCTTTGGTAACCTAGAAGCATGTTTTATTTGGCCCACACAATGTTTTAAAAAGGAATTTAAGGGGTGCCTGGATGGTACAGTTGGTTAAAACATCTGGCTCTTGATATTGGCTCAGGTTCATGAGTTCAAGCCCTGCATCAAGCTGTGCACTGATGGCGAGAGCCTCTCTGGGATTCTGTCTCTCTTTCAATCTGCTCCTCCCCAGCTTGTGCTCACTCTCTCTCAATGTAAATAAACAAACTTAAAAACTTTTTAAAATAAATAACTAGTAAAAAGGAACTTAAAACAATAGCCTATTTAATACTGGGAGACTTCACATTAAAAACTGGGATATTCAGCCAGTTGGGAATTTGGAAGGTCTGGTCTCCCTGACTCCCTTTCCTGCCCAGCAACACATTCCTAACCCTTCTTAAAGTCTGCACCCATTGACTCCACTTGGTCCCACGGGCAACTGACTCTGTGTGTTCAATAGGCTCTAGCCACCACAGCACTTCCTTTGAGCACCTAAGAATACAACTTCCTCCCAGAAATTTCCCTTCACCTTGATCAGAAGATCAGTAGATGATGAATGTGAAAATAGTCCTACCACAAAATACAAACTCATGTGGTTTGCTTTCCTTCCTTTGACAATATCCTTTCCTACCTCCCCCTGGCATCATGGGGACTTCTAAAAAAGGAAAGTCAAACTGAGTTCTTAAGACTTGGGCTCCTGTGGGGCGTCTGGGTGGCTCAGTCGGTTAAGCGTCCGACTTCGGCTCAGGTCATGATCTCACAGTTCCTGGGTTCAAGCCCTGCGGCGGGCTCTGTGCTGACAGCTCGGAGCTTGGAGCCTGTTTCAGATTCTGTATCTCCCTCTCTCTCTGTCCCTCCCCTGCTCACACTGTCTCTCTCTCTCTCTCTCAGAAATTAATAAAATATGAAGAGAAAAAAAAGACTTGGGCTCTTGGTTTCAGCTCTATCATTAATGCACCATTATGGGCCAGTCACTTAAATTTTCTGGGCCTCAGTTCCCTAACCTAGAATATTAAATGTTTGAACAATTTGATCTTAAAACAACCCAACTCTAAGCCTGCACAAAATAGATGTAATTGAAGATGACTGGAAAATACTGCATTTTTGCTGAGAACTCCAGGGATTCCCCAGTGTGGCCTCCTATAATGCTGTTACCCACAAACAGGTGAGGCAGCCTTTCCTTTCTGAGCTTTGAAATTATTTTTTCAAATTTTCTTTTAACATTTATTCATTTTTGAGAGACTGAGAGAGACAGAGAGTGAGCAGGGGAGGGGCAGAGAGAGAGGGAGACACAGAATCTGAAGCAGGCTCCAGGCTCCGAACTGTCAGCACTGAGCCCCACATGGGGCTTGAACTCATGGACTATAAGATCATGACCTGAGCCGAAATCAGATGATTAACCGACTGAGTCATTCAGGCACCTCCTGAGCTTTTATATTAAACATTCATACAGTACAGTAGAGTGTATATGAGTCTAGAAGGAAACAACAAAATGTTCACTGCATTAAGTTATATCTGGGTTACAGAATTCTAATACTTGTCAACTGGTATTTTTTCTATATACATTTGCAAGCTTCCAAATTTTCTCCCACTAAGCAAGCAACCTTATAACAAAAAAACAAACAAAACCTCCTCCTCACCCCCCTGCAAACCTGACATCAATGTTTTTTAAAGTACATTAGGGGCACCTGGGTGGCTCAGTCTCTTAAGTTATCAGACTTCAGCTCAGGTCATGATCTCGCGGTTTCTGTGTTCAAGCCCTGCATCGGACTCTGTGCTGATAGCTCAGAGCCTGGAGACTGCTTAGATGCTGTGTCTCCCTCCCTCTGTGCCCCTCCCTTGCTTATGCTGTGTTTCTGTCTCTCTCAAAAATAAACATTAAAAAATTTTTTTAAGTACATTAGACAGGGACTCTTCATGTAAGATGGGAATGCTATTTTATGACTTTTATAATTGTATTCTGTAATTCCTGTGAAAATCGGCAAGAATCATGTAAATGTTCAAAATCTATTTCTGGTTCTGTCCAATAGGAACTGTAAAAATATCTACTGTCCCCTCCCTCTTGAGAAGGTGGTTGTAAAGATCAAGTAAGCTGGTGCCTGGAAAAGCCCTGGGAAAAGCAAAAGTGCTACCCAGAGAAGGGATGTTCAAGTGTAGCTGATTGATTACATTATGCTGCTGTTCCATATTACAAATTGGGCCAACGATTAAACTCAGATTCTTTTAGACCACAATTACAAGTCATCCTGAGAAAGTGATGCCAAGTATATTAAAGAAGAACTTGATTGGTGTGTATATTAAAATGCTTAAGTGAATCGCACAAATTATAACCTGGGGTAGCAATATGGCAATTGTACTGTTAATAACTAATTAAGATCCACTTATTTCACTGGGCCTAGTAAAACTGCTTAGAAAACTTCTTATTAACAGTTAAAAGTATGTCTCAACATAGCTAATACCGCTATATTTCTCTGATATAAGTTAGCAAAGACTCTTAACATCTTCTCAAATAATTTTCTAAATGCCCCAACTCTTTTTTAAAATATACTGCTGAGCCTGATGGCTCAGTTGGTTAAGCTAAGGTCATGATCTCATGGTTTGTGAGTTCGAGCCCCACATCTGGCTCTGTGTTGCTGACGGCTCAGAACCTGGCTCAGAACCTGGACGCTGCTTCAAATTCTGTGTCTTCCTCTGGCTGTCCCTCCCCTACTTGCTCGCGCTCTCTCAAACATTTAAAAAAATTTTTAATAAAGGCATGCTACTCATTTTCTAGGCAGAAATGTTATTGTACTTACTGATTTGGATCAGATCCGTAATCCACCAGAACATCAACCAACTTCGTAAGGCCTAATAATGCTGCAACAAAAAGTGCAGTCTGGCCCAGGGAGTTAACTGCGTCAACATAAATTCCTGCAAAACAAATGCAAGGCTCAATACAAATGTCAGGAAATTTCCTAAGATAAAACTAGAGATATTCCCACTTGAAGAAAATCTTAATGCTTTTTTCCAAAAAGAAAATAAGCTTTCATTAGCCCCAGAAACCTAACAAGTCACAAGTCAACTAGAAGACAACCAGCATTCATTCATCAAAAATGTTATTTACAGAAAGTTGTATGGAAGCATCCCACCCTACCCTGCTAGAAACCGAATTGAAATTATTTCCAGGTTACAGGGGAACCCGGATGCCAAAAGTGATTCAGTATCTGACTCTTGAACCCTGCGTGGAACTTGTTTGGGATTCTCTCTCAGTCCCTTCTCCCTAAACAAGCACACCTACGGTATCTTCCTGTCTTAGAAAATAGGAAAAATGATACTCAGGCTACTATCACAAAAAACTGGGACAGAAAATAACCCAGCTCTAATGCAAACATGCTACATCCTCAAAACAAACACCTTAAGCACAAAAAAAAAAAAAAAAAAAAAGCCAGCCAACTACCCGAGTTGTACAAAGAGATCAAAATTAACCAAAGAACCACAAAAAGTAGCTAAAAAGAACCACATCCACAAGTTACTATAAACTCACCAAGTAAAACCTTCCACTACAACACAATACCATCCTCTTCAAGAGGGAATTAACCTAAAATAACCTGGTTTGTAAAATCGTTAAAAACACCACCTAGCTATGCTCTCTCAAAACAGTAACACAGCATATTAATTCTGTATTGCTCTACAATGAAAAACGAAACCACTCAGACTGTGTCCTCTCCCTCTTACTCCCCTAAAGAGGAGAAAGAACGATCATCAATGGCAATCAGTAGCTATAAAAACAGCACTAAAAGCCAACTTCACGCTCAGGAGAGAACACTACGCCTCCTCCTCGTGGTTTCGGGTACTCTACACGTTCAGAGAAACTTCTCTAGTAACGAACTATAGAAATGATCCCTGAAAGTATAGTCTTAACTAGCAACAGTTTGAGTTCCCAGAGTGAGTGAAACCGACATACATTTTAGTAATGGTGAGTTTTTTTGTCTTAAATATCAATATTTTTTCAAATGTACACTGGTATGTGTTTACCGAAGAATCATTCCATTACCAAAGTTCGATAAAGCGTTTCTGAATATTGTGTTTCAGAAGACATTTCAAGTCATCACTTTAATTACCATACAGTTGATAAATAGCCAATCACATGCCACTTTTCTGCAACCTCCCCAGCCCCCCCTTTGCCGCAGCGTCAGGTTTACGTGAAATGATGACGACTACAAAGCGCGCCGGAACTCCAGGATGCGCCTCAATTTAGACCAACCAACCCGTTAAGTGAGGAATCCTTTTTCGAGAAAAACGTAGGAAGTAGACGAAACTTAAGACCCAAAGCCAAAGACTTACATCTGCAAAGCACTACCTGTTTTTATTTTTTTAATGTTTATTTTTGAGAGAGTGCAAGCTGGGGAGGGGCAGCGAGAGGGGACAGAAAATCTGAAGTGGGCTCTTTGCTGACAACAGCCCTGTGGGGCTGGAACTCATAACCGTGAGATCGTGACCTGAGCTGAAGTCGGAGGCTTAACACGCTGAGCCACGCAGGCGCCCTAACACTCTCTTAATCCTGTGATATAAATACGAGACATAAATGTTCTTTTGTAGATTTTTTAAAACAAATTAAGTAATTTTTATTTGCATAAAAACTGTGCTTAAATAAACATATAATTCTGCTTAAATCTTCAGGAGCTCTCAGCTCTTGAGCTAAGAACAAAACATAGCTTACTGGGCCATTCACGGTCTGGCCCACGATCAGCTCTCCAGCCTTATTTTGCACCAAATTCCCTTTCACTTCAGCCATTACTGAGCTTAACAGCTCTTATGCTCACTATATTGCCTTCTGCCACAGACCCTTTGCACAAGCTGTTCTCTCTTATAAGAATTCTCTCCAAACCCCTCCTCCAACTTCATTAAGACATCTGTCCAAGTGTCCTCTCAGGAAATGCTTCCCTGACCTCCTTAACTACATCAAACATCTTCTCTGTGTGTTTCTGTGATTTATGCCTGTTCTATGCATAAGACTATGTCTCAGAAGAGCAGAGACTATGAAATAACCTTGTATACCCACAATATCCTAAACACCTACTGAATGTTCCCAACATGGGGCTTGACCTCGTGACCCTGAGATTGAGAGTCACATGCTCTAGCCACGAGAGCCAGGCTCCCCAGACTATCTTTTTTAAGATGTTTGTATACCAAACTTTGGAAGATATAGTATCTCCTTTAGAGCAAAGTGCAGGGATGCTTACTGCCCAGTGTAATAAAGATAATGGCTCTCTGACCCTCCCCGCTCATGTATGCACACACACATGTTCTCTCTCTCTTCCCCTCCCTCAAAATAAATAAAAAAAATTTTTTTTAAAGTAGAGAATCCACTGCCTAAAGTTTTGGCAATAAAAAAGAATTTTATGCAAATTTCCTATATTTATTTTCTTAAGTTTATCTATTTTTAAATTTTATTTTGAGAGAGAAATAGAGAGCAATGGGGATAGGGGCAGAGAGAGGGAGACAGAATCCCAGGCAGGCTCCGTGCTGTAAACACAGACCCAGATGCAGGGCTCGAATTCACAAACCATGAGATCATGACTTGAGCTGAAGTCAAGAGTCAGATGCTTAAATGACTGAGCCACCGAAGTGCCCCAAGAATTTTATGAAATTTTTGAGGACTTAAAAATATGAGTGTCCAGGTTCAAAGACCTCACTAAGTACACATCACAATGAAGACAAACAGATTTATGCTGAACCACCATCATGACATTTCAAAAGACCAGGGATAAACAGAAGAACTAGAATTCTTCAGAGTAAGTAGAGGACCACTTCACATATAAAAAAAAAATCCGTAATCGGGGGCGCCTGGGTGGCTCAGTCGGTTAAGTGGCTGACTTTGTCTCAGGTCATGATCTCACAGCTTATGAGTTCGAGCCCCGCGTCTGGCTCTGCACTGACAGCTCAGAACCTGGAGCCTGCTTCAGATTCTGTGTCTCCCTCTCTCTCTCTGCCCCTCCCCTGCTCATGCTCTGTCTCTCAAAAATAAATAAATGTTAAAAAAATTAGTAATCTGGGGCGCCTGGGTGGCTTAGTCGGTTAAGCGTCCGACTTTTGCTTAGGTCATGATCTCTTGGTTCTTGGGTTTGAGCCCCTTTTCGGGCTCTGTGCTGATTGCCATCTCAGTGCCTGGAGCCTGTTTCAGATTCTGTGTCTCCCTCTCTCTCTGACCCTTCCCTGCTCACGCTGTCTCTCTCTCTCTCCTAGAAATAAATAAAAATATTAAAAAAAAAATTAGTAATCTGAATGGCATCAAGGTTCTCAATAACAAGACTGAAAACTAAGAAAGAAATGAAATAATGAAAAAATAGCTTCAAATTCTGAGGGAAATTTGTTTCAACCTAGAATTTTGTGCCTTCCAAACTATCAATTAAGTATGAGGATGGAAGAAAAAACACTCTTCAGATTTTCATATTTGTTTTTTTTTCATATTCCAAAGTAATTACGTTTTTCATATTCCAAAGTAATTATGTTCAGTGCACCCTTTTTCTGTGTTTCAGTAAAATGTAAGAATGCACAAAGATAGAGGAATGGAAACCAGAAAAGATGAGCTGTAATCCAGCTAAGGGAATTCCCAAAATGGTGGCTAAGAGAAACCAGGGGTTCAAGCTGTGCTAGAGAGACAGTGGTCCAGCTTGCAAAACCAAGAGATTATAAATTTGACGAAAAACATGTATTGAAAGTGTTCTGAAGAGTTAGGAATATGTGGTAAGAGTTCATTGATTTACATAAAACTGAACAATAAACCGGAATCCATTTTAACTATAGGAAGTCTGAAATTAGGTTTGCTGACTGCAGCTCCTTTGTCATATGTCTGCTTCTTTTATATATATATATATATTATATATATATTATATATATTATATATTATATAATATATATTTATATATATATAATTTAATGTTTTTTATTTATTTCTGAGAGAGAGAGTGAGAGAAAGCGAGCAGGGGAGGGTCAGAGAGAAAGGGGGACACAGAATCCAAAGCAGGCTCCAGGCTCTGAGCTGTGAGCACAGAGCCTGACGCAGGGCTCGAACTCACGAACTCGAGATCGTGACCTGAGCTGAAGCTGGGAGCTCAACCGAATGAGCCACCCAGGTGCCCTGTGATGTCTGCTTCTTAAAACAGACATTTCCCAGGCTTTGAGCCTAAGATTTCAGCTCCCTGGGACTGTGACTACCTTTTTCATCTCTCAAGGCAGTAAAAACTCCTGGGTCCTCTTCCCCTGTTGTTAGCAGTAGAGGTGCTCCACCAAAGCATCTCTCTTTTTCTCTCTCTCTCTGGATCTGTAGCTCTATCGGGATGAGAACCCTGGAGCTGTGAATGAAGTCCAGTGCAATGATGCTGAGAATTGATGTAAAGGGTTTTACCTGGAAATGACCAAATTATTTAGGTGGGGGTGTGATTATACTCAGATTTACCTGGGCATTTGGTGGAGCATGTAAAAATAAAGATGAAAAATGAATGGGAATACTGGCAGCGAGAAAGCATCTTTAATTCTTCAAAGTCCCTCCCTTCATTCATTCATTCAACAATAACAACAACAAGGAACGACTCAAGATGATATGCCATTGCTCAAAACACAAACAAGGCCCAAAGTCAAACAGCATTAACCCCCAAAATATACTCAATAAACTAGTTGAATTAAAAAAAGAAAAACAAAAACACAACAAAAAACCCAGGGGCACCTGGGTAGTTTAGTCAGTTAAGCGATGAAACAGCTGACTTCAGCCCTGATCTGCAGCCCACTTAAGATACTCCATCTCCTTTTCTCTCTGTCCCTCCCCCCCACCTCCCCCCCCAAAAACACCTAACATTTTTAAAAACTTTACTTACTTATTTTGAGAGAGACAGAACTAGCAGGAGCAGAGAGAGAAATAGAGAAAATCTCAAGCTGGGTCCACACAATCAACACAGGAACCAAAACTGAGTAGTAACCAAGGAAACAAACTCAAGTGAACCACCTAGGAGCCCTAAAGACTAAATTTCTCTTAAACAGGAAGGCCCTCCATGTATACCAAAAAAAAAAAAAACCCACACACAGAAACCAAAAAGACACATATACAACTAGAAAAAAAAAAAAAACAAAAAAAATCACTAGCTACACAGCAAGACTAACATTCACAACAAAAAGAAAGAAACCACTCAGATGGCATCCCTTCCCTCTCACTCCTCCAAGAAAGAGATGTGGAACGATCATCAATGACAAAGGGCAGCTGTAAGGACAACACCCAAAGTCGGCTTCACGCTCAGGAAGGGACACTGCATCTCCTCCTCGTGGTTTCGGGTACTCTACACGTTCAGAGAAACTTCTCTAGTAACAAACTATAGAAATGATCCCTGAAAGTATAGTCTTAGCCGGTGACTCCCTAACTCTGCTGGGTCTATGGCTGCCGTGCACTTTGGGCTGATGGCGAGATAGTTGCCCCATTTCTGATTCTACTGGAAAAACAGAAAGAGGTTTTGTAATGCAATCTTTCAAATACTATCACTTAAAAAATGCATTTCAGTGTTTTAAGTGGAAATGTAAGATCTTAAAAAAAAACAAAAATTAACAGCCACGCTTAATTAACATAAGACTGAATGCCAGCCAATCAGCCTGCATCTTCAAAGCTGAGGAAGCATTCCCCTCACAGTTCTGTTAAAGCGGCCTCACCCACACCTGAAAGCTAAAGGAAATGCCTCGCCTTGGCCTTTGCTGGTAAGAAGCAAGTTGATTGGAGTGATCAGTATATTATAGCAGTTGCGTGAAATGGCTGTTCTAAGAGTTTGACTTTCATAATACTGGTAAATTAGAGACAGAGCACTATGACTGTGGCAGGGAGGGGAACTAGGCGGCTGAGAAACAGTGCTGAGAAACAAAACCTTTTGGGTTTTGTGC